GCAGGCTTTTCTAGGAAATGGGACTTAAGTCAGGAAACGAAACTTAAGGTAGGCTTTGCAGGAGAAATGAAACTTAACAGAGGGGATGGGCTCATTGTATGGACAAGGAACAAATCCTACAGGCATTTCATAGGAAACGAAACTTATGTTAGAGATGAAACCTATAGCAGTGGAAAAGTACCCAGAGATATTGCAACAAGTGTATACTGTATCTTTATCATCTATTTAGCAAGAGCTGCTACAGGAGAAAAGGGAAACATAGCTTAAATGTTCTATAAATGAATTTCCAGAATTTATTTCATTTCAGCAACCTAGTAAGAAATAACTGCTAAATGTTATTAGTAATTCTAACAATTGATACAAATATATACTTTAAAAGGTTGCACTTCTGTGGTTTCTGAAACGGTAACATAGCCTGTACAATTTTTTATTTTTTCTATTCTGAAAGCTCAAATAAGCTCCAACTTTAAAGGAAATCCAACATTAGTACCTTTTCTATTTTTTGAAAAACCCTGAAGTGATTCTGCTATCATTTGAAGCGGGAAAATGTATTAGAGGTGAATCTATAATATGCATCTAGACTAGCATCTAATCTGTAGTAGCCCTTTGGGTGATACATGATTTCTTTCCTATAGTTTTAACAGGGTATTCATTTAAATTAAAATCCAAAAGACAAAAATAAACAAGAGGTAAAACATTACTTCATTTCTTCCAGTAGTCAGAACTGCAGTCAGATAGTCCATCTTCCATGGATATATTTAGAAGCAAACTCCATTGGATTCAAAGTGGGTTTACGTGAAAGATAGATTTATGACCCTCAACCTCTCTGGAATAATATATGCATTTGAAATGTCAAGAACCCCAGGGGCACATTCACAATAGAGGTACTATGAATGACATTCCCACTTACTCATATATCAGAATAATACCTGCCACATTCCCCACTAAGTACACTTAAGTTATCTTTTAATTCTAGACAGATGAATATGTATCAAGACAAAGTACTAAACTGTAGAAATAAAAAATTATGCAAATCAGAAGCTTTCTTGGAAATAAATATGAGGATGAGGCTGATCTTTTGTTTTGCATTATGCAATTCCTATTAAAAATACTAATCAAAGTAGTCAAGGGGACAGGAAGTCTGACAGGAAACAAGGGATATTCACAGGTATATTCCTATCCAATTGCCCAAGGCAAAATGGGCAGCAAACAAATCTAATACATGAATCTTGAGAATACATAGTACATAATAAAACTGGTCTAACACCACACATGGCAGCAGTTTTAGGAATATCCAACAGTATTTTTTACTGAGGCCATAAATGTACTCTTTGCATAAAAGAGAGTGATGCAAATAAAATCTTAAGAAATTAATAGGCACTTGCAAACCTTGAAATGCCCCAAACTACTTGAATCATATGATTGAGTTGCATAAGATATTACATCAAGGATTTACACCTTCACAATAGGATTGTGGGTCAAATTCCAACTGATTCAGGAAATAAACAGATTACAAAGAAGAAAATACCAACTTCTGTTGTTGAATTTTTCGCTATCATTATATAAATCCTAGTAATAAAGTTCTACTACATAAATATGAAATTAAATGGCCAAATTCAATTTTATTATTAGATATAAATGGAAAAATTTAAAGCACATATAAAATTATTCTTCTTCCTTTTCTCCCTGTGTTGTCTGCATTCTTTATCCAACCATAGATCTTTTTCTTCCCCTCAATCGTACTTCATCCAGCTTTTTAATCACCGGAATTGATTTTTTAGATGCAGCTGAGTATTTCTTCAAAAGTGCTTCAAACAGAGTTTCTGTGTTTGGATGGGTACTCAAAAAGGCTTTCTCTAAAACATATAAATCAACACCCTTATCCTCAGGAAGGCCAGAAATAAAACTTAGTCCAAAATCTATTAACATCAACTCTAGATTCTCCTCTGGTGGTTGCAAAAGCATGTTAGAAGTTGTGAGATCCCCATGGACGAGGTCTTCATCATGCATTCGTGCCAATATCTCACCTATCTTTTCAGCTAATTGAATAAGACTGCTGATCCCTTCACCAGATTGCTGCTGGGAGATTATATAGTCCCGAACAGTAGTTGATCCTACAACATCTTCAAGATATATACAGTTAGCAACATAGTCCACAAAGTACACAACGGGTGCAGAAATCCCTAAAAAGAGGACAGTAAAAATCATTAGTTTTGGGTGGAATATATTATACCAGGGATGTCAAACTTCCAGTCCGCAGGTCGGTTGCATCATATGGAGGCCGCGCCCACCTCAGCTCTGGCAATGCAAAAGTCATGATACGATGTGACACATGACGTGGCTAGTTTGACACCCGTGTATTATATCATATTAGGAGATAGACTGATGTTCTGTTCAGTGCTCACCCTTCCTCCAGACAAAACTGTTACCATTCTACCCTTTCCCTTATCACAGGCATGTCCTACTGTAATGCATTATCTTTCTTGCTTTTGAGCTTTAAAGTAGTCAACAATCAACACCTTGCCATGTTATCTACAGCTGGCTATTATGAGAAGCTACAGAATTTAAAAAATATACAGGAGAAACTGGGAATGCTCATGTACTGACAAGAAATGTTTTTAAAAACAGAAAAAAATTATTTTAAAGCTGGCACGCTTTATTCATTAAAACTTGCATCCTGTCTTTCCTCCAGGTGCTCAAGGCACTTACATAGCACTCTGCCCTCCATTTTTGTCCAAAAATGGAGGAATATGGGCTGAGATGAAGAGCTGCCTCCAAATCACCCAGTGAGCTTCCATGGCTGAGAATGAAGCTCATGTCATAACCACTACCCCAAGCAAAAATCCATCTTCTAGCAGACTGATATCCAACTGGTTTAGTAAATTTAATTGTGAAGATGTAAAACACAAGCTATACTTGATCAGGAAGATACTCAATACATTACTGGCTCCTACCATTAACACTTCCCATATTATGGCAATGTCTGTGAGAAATTGATGACAGCAAATAAAATACATTAAATTTTAAAGTATTATAGAAAAGGGATTTTTGTAATACTCCAAATAGGTGGTATATCTTCTCCAAATGCGACACATTCAAACGTGTTTAACCTATCCATTACATTTTTTTTAAAAAAATAGATCTTCTACTTCCTTAGCTATTTCAGACAGCCTCTCCAATAAATGGAAGTGAAAAAAAACTTTGAATCAAGTTTTAGTAAAAACGGATCAATATCCCAAGGACAACAACATATATATTTATATATATATATTCCTTTGTCAATCAAGTGCTGTTGCGATCTCCCTGCTTCAGCCTATTTTAGAATACAGTAGAATCGCTGCTCTTTTACTTATTCATGGGGGGGGGGGGAGAAGCGGATCTGGTGTTCTTATTGGCCGTCATGAGGAGCCCACCCACTTCCTGCCTCATCCAATCCCTGGCTAAGCCCCCCCCACCTGCTCGTCGACAGCGTAGCAACGAACGGGCCTCTTGCGCCGTTCGCTTGTGGCTGAGCCTCTCATCCAGCGTTGGGTGCCGGTAACGTTTCGGGAACCGGAGTTTCATCACGGTCGGCCTGCCTAAGAATTGGCCCCGATAGAGGCGGGCTTCGGCTCCCTGCTGGATCAACTGCAGACCCTCCATTGGAGGAGGGAATCCTGGTGAATCAGCTTGGACCGACCCGTCCTCGGAGTTTGATCCCGCCATGATAGCAAAATGGCCAGGCCACCTTCCTCTTTTACTACGCATGCGCAATCCTAAACTAAGTGGCGCACGTGTCGTGCGCAACTGAATGAGCAACGCTATTTGGATTGCAAGGATCAGACGACCGTTAAACGTCAACAAGGAAAATCTGACATCTTGTGGTCGACTGGGTGTTTGCAATCGACATTTTGTAAGCCGTAATAAAGAGTAAATTTTTCCTATGTTCTTTCTAGAATAATAGGGATATGGATGGATGGATAGATAGATAGATAGATAATTTTATATATTTATTTTATATGCTTTCCAAGACAATTCCTCTTCACTTAGTGTGGCCCAGCAAACCAAAAGGTTGGATTCCCTGCTATTAATGAAAATTGCAACTGTGAAAATATTTACTCGATCATCCACACTCAGAATATCTCAGCCCAACCACCTCAGAAGTTATTATTGTGGAGAAAATAGATGGATTAGGTGTGTTTGTTGCTTCAAATTATATATAAACAGGCAGGATACAAATAAAAAGAACAGAGTTAGGACACCCTATAAAATCAATACCTAAGACTGGTTTGTAAAAGTATTGTATATTAGTATGTGAGTATGGAGTCAACTGCTGTCAATTTATGTGCAGCGCTCTTCATAATCTGGAAAAGATCTCTAAAAACCTGGAGGAGGTTCATGCCATTTGCAGACTGATGCGCTTAAATTTTCTGAAAGTATTAGGCCTATAATAGGAAGAAATGATATAGTAACATATAAAAGTAATAGGATAGTGACTGACATGTCTGTCTGGAAGCATGTTTTGCTTGGTTCAGTGAAGTCTACTACAACCTATCCTCAACCTGTTGGCTGTAGATTAAGATTTTGTTTCTATTTGCCTCAGAGTAATTTATTTGGACTTAGTCCTGGGTAGACCCAGGCTTGGATTATTTACTGAATTTTATATAAAATAATTGCATGACTGCAATCTTTCCTTGGCTGTACAACCTGTAGCCCTCCCCCCCCCCCCCCCCC